TCTATGAGTCCTTCAGGGATGGCGATTGAAGCTAAACCAGCTCATCCCCTATCCGTAAATGTTAAAAAAAAAACTATTAATACCAGTCGGCTTGTCAAGTAGTCCGTGAACACTTACCTCAGGCGGCTATAACACACTTGAAAGGCTGAGCGTGATGACACACGCTCTTTTATAGTCGCAGTCACGCTCGCTGTTCCGTTACATGTACTTTCCTGGCTATATGTGTTTACATGTGCCTTATACGTATGCTTTGTTTAGGTTGGCTTCAACGTGTTTGTCAGACTTTTTGCCGCAACCTCAGTTCCGACTTGTATGAAATTACTTATACATATCTTAGCACTAATACTATCTTACGTGCCATCTTATGTCTATCCTATTGCTATGCTTCTACGATACTGATTATGGCTTCATGCGTTTATACATGATGTTTACAGCTATTTTGCCTTTTTTCCTTATTGCTATGCTTGTTCATATGCCTAACCTTCTGCTTATTCTATTGCTCTGTTCAACATGCATTTTTTCACTGTTAACCCAGGTACCAAATCGTATGATTTGGATGACCGTTAGGTATGCGTTCACAATGTATTTACTTATTTTTTTCTTCTGTTTAGATGGCAATACGTTTTTATATACAGCTGATATGTTACTTGCGAATACTTTGAGTACGTTTTATGCTTTTGAACATTTTGAATACATTTTATGCATCTTCATATAACTCATACAGTTGTATGCGAACGCTTTGAGTACATTTTTATACATAGCTTGTATGTTACATGCGAATACTTTGAATACGTTTTATACATTTGAGTACAGACTCATATAGTTGTACGTGTTACATGTGAATACTTCAAGTACATTTTTATATATAGCTTGCATGTTTATACTTTTAATACATTTTTGTATGGTTGCATATGCTACATGCGTTTGAGCGGAAAGAGGCTGATCATGTTCAGTAAAAAGACATGTAAACGGACAAATCGGACTGACTGGTTGAGGTCTGCGGGCAAACATTTAGGCGGACGGACTTGTTATTAGTAAGGAAGCAAAACGCTTCCTTTCAAGGTTAAATTAACTTTTTTCAGATAGGCGGACATATAATGAGGGTCACAGGTACACATAGAGCAAGCTCATATTTATTTTGCAAAACCTTTATGATAGTGAGCGGTAATTTTTTATATGGAAGATTAAAGGGGGCATATAAAACATATTTTACTTTTTCATTCCAAAAAAAGTAAAAGAACTCCGGAAACACGCAGACAAAAATGAGCTGCGTATGGAAATAATACTGTAACGAAAAACACTTGCCAAAATTGGTTTGCGAAATTTCACTTTGGAGACTTTTCATCGAAAGTTTTACCGCATTCTGGCAGTCCAAATACTAATGATCACGACCAATTGAAGGTTCTGATTGAAGCTGATCGATACATAGCGATTGCAGAACAACTTAATTCATCTAAGACAACTGTTAGGGATTGTATAAAATGGTTGGGATTTCATAAAAAAGCCCGATATTCGGATTCCACGTAATTTAAATGAAATTCATTAAACACAACGAATTAGTATCTGCGATATACTGTCAAAGCGAAACCAAAACGGTCCATTTCTGTAAAGGATTGTGACTGGTGACGAAATATGGATCCCGAACAAACATAAGCAACGCAATAGATCGAGGTAAA